CACAGGGGGGGGGGGGGGGAGGAGAGACACACCAAACAGCATGTCCCCTTTAAGAGTGAGTACAGGCAAAGGAACAGGGGAACAGTTGAGCACTAAGACCTAAGGGAAGCATTGCTTCCGCTAGGTCTTTTGGCCAGCAGCCATTTTGTGCCGGCAGCCTTGGAGAACCAGGTAAGCATGGGGGCTGGGAGGGAAAGGGGGGGAAGGCTGGGCGCTGAGTGTTTGTAGGGTTGCCAGGTACCCGGCATTTTCGCATCCTGGCCAGGAAAAATTTCAGAAAATACCAGACATCTTAGGTGTCTGGTATTCTCTGAATTATTTTTACCGGACAGGAAGCAAAAATACAAGACTGTCCGGGTGAATACCGGACACCTGGCAACCCTATGAGTGGCCTGCTGAGATGAGTCAGGAGGTGAAGATAGCACCTCCTCCCTGGATCCCCTTATGCAGAGGTGGCCTAAGCATCACCAACCCTTGCCTCCCCCAATAAAAGTAAACTTATATTTATGCCTCAGCCCTCCCCCCCAAGGCAAGAGCCCAAAGTTCTCCCCCAGCGCCTCCTACCCTGCTGGGCCCTGGAATTTTTATAGCACGTTGAGGAGGGCAGGCCCCAACAAGAAAAAGGTTGAGAAACCCTGCTCTACAGTTCACACCTTGGTCGTCTGAGACAGAAGCATCATATTAGGATAAGAAAAATGATAAAGCAAAATAATATGGTGCAACACTAGTACAGTGGCATGTATGTGTGTAAAACATCTCAATCGTTTTAGTCATAATTTGCTATAGTTGACACTAAGAGACTTTTTGTTGGTTGGAGTGTGATCTGTTTCTGGTGATAAGTGGTAGTCAGTACCCAGATTTTCAACACCTCAGAGGTGGTAATCTTAAGCACTATTAAAAACCTACATTTACTTTTGAGAAATAAAATGAAATACTTTTTAGTTAATTTTTAATAATAAACTATACTTTATGGCTAACAGATTTTTTTAAATTTAATATCTAAAATATTTCAGAAGTCTCACGCAGCTGGAGGACTTTTCTTAATATTACATTTGAGAATTATTCTATAATGAACATTTTAATTTTCTTCTTTAGGCAGGTTTATTTTAAATATTTATAGCCTCCCATAGAGTCTTAATTTTATTTTGCATTTGTTACTGAAGAGTTACTAAGAACAGCATTTTTGCCATTATTGGTCATTAAATAGGTTGTACATGGTGGCCCCAATTCAGGAAGGCTTGATATTACATGATTAAGTCCGTCCCTATTCAGGAAAGTGCAACGCAGTCTCTCAACAGGCAGAATACCACATGAGCTAAAAGCTGGCTGCCTAAGGCTGTAGAGCAGATTCACTATTCTCTCTGTAAGTGGCCTCGAAGCCACTTGGTGGGACAGTGCACCACATCCAGGAGATCTGTGGGTTACAAAAGCACTTTTGCACATATATAGCTTTATTTTTAAAAAATGTTTAAATATGTTAATATTCTGTTCGACATACTAATTTAATGTCTGCCAAATTATCATTTTGATAATATACAGACTGGAATTTTTGAAGGTGCTGGAGAGCATGTAGACATCAATTGGATGTGGGCACCCAACTCCCTTAAACTCATTTGAAAATTGCAGCTTAGTGATTTCAGATCTCTAGGGGAAAGATTATTCTAGATTTTGTTTGTTTTCTCCATCTCCAAAACTTTCACCTTTCTTACTGATCAAGACAAGATGGATAACACTGTTTAAAACAAAAAGACTTTGTCCCTAATTTCTCATGAATTCATCTGCTTTCAGCTTCCTGCTACTAGTTTGTTATGCCTTTCTCCTCTAAACTGAAAAGCCCTTCAACACTCAGGATTTTCTCCCCATGAAAGTTCCCAACAAAATATCCTTCATGTGTGGCAGAGGTGTGCATTTTATTTGTTTTATAACCAAAAATAGGCATGCGAAAGGCAGATATTAAGTATGTTTTAAAAATAACCAGACAGCTCATGGCAAGTAAGGTTCTCTTCAGTCCTGAAAGTCAACCTACCTAGAAGGAAAACTCTGATTTCAAACCTCCATCTTTTGGTCAAAGGAAGCCTGACACTGGGCATCAGTAACACCAGTACCACCTGTAAACGGTCTACCAGATCCACCACAACAATGTGGGAAAACAGTGGGCATGTACTTAGTTAAACAGGGGAAAGGCCCTCTCACTGTTGTGCTCATCAGATATACCAACTGATACATTATAATTTCTATAGAACAAGATGACTATGTTGGTGCAAGCAGTTTCATATTTTTGGAGAGTTGCCAAAGGGTTGCCAAAGTACATACCGACTGTAAGAAAAGGTGAGAATAAGAAAGGAAAGGTGTTTCTTCTCTGCTTGCCTCAGGAGCAGAGGGCTCTATAGGACTTTAAGGGTGATGCTCTACAGCTGGGTTGGGCAAAAGCCTCTCAGCAGGCCACATCCAGCCCACCTAGGGCTTGGATCCAGCCTGCAAGGCAGTTCCAGGCCCTGCCTCCAGTGCATTGCCTTGGAGCAGGAGAAGAGCAAAAGCCCTTCTAACTGCTTCTATTTAAAGGGCTCGCGTCTTCCTCACGCCTTGCCTACAAGCTGTGGGGAGGCGCAAGCCCTTTAAATAGAAACTGCTGAAAGGGCTTGCATCTTTTTCTCCCTAGCAACGGGCAAGAGGTGCGGGGAGCTGTAAACCCTTTTATGTGCTTCTATTTAAAGAGATTGTGCCTTCCCCAGGCCTGTCACGCAGTGTTACCTAGCAGCCACAGGGAACACAACAGCCCTTTAAATAGAAACAGATTAAAGGAATCACACATCTCCGGCAACACGCTAGAGGTGCTGGGAGCTCTTTCAGCTGTTTCTATTTAAAGGGCTCTCGTGTTCCCTGCAGCTAGGCAACCTATATCTGCCTCAGCATTTTAAAAAACCCTATGTGTATTCTAGAGAATATTGCAAAAATCATACAAATGGCTATACTGGGCCAGACTAAAGGTCCATTTAGCCCAGTAGCTAACTTCTGAAAGTAGATAATGCCAGGGAATGAACAGAACAGGTAATCATCAAATGATCCATCCCCGCTGTCACCCATTCCCAGCTTCTAATAAATCATCCTTTATTTACATGAGGATTTAGATGTATACTTCTATCACAAATATATATATATATTGAAAATTACAATAAAAAAATTTAAAGAATCAAAATATAAAGGGTGACAGAATTCATACAAAATCTTTTTCCTATTTCATACCAAGAGTTTCTGCTGTATATTTGGCTTCTTCAATTTAAAAAAAATGATAGTGTGTAATACAGAAGCATTGTTTTGTAAATTCTAATAAAATCAATAGCAAGTCCTAAAAAGCACCATTATCATAGTCTCTAGACTCTTAAAACAGTTATGTTCAATAACTGAATTGCTTTAGAAATATGGATTCTAAATCCTCTCCGCATGCTTTATTTTAGTACTGTAGTTCTCAAACTTCAGCAAAAGAAGGGCCCCCATTTTGATTTTTAAATTTTCAGGGACCCCCCTCCCACAGCCCTTCTGAGGCCCCACCCCTGCTCTGCCACTTTTCCCAGGCCCTGACCCCCAGCCAGTGTCCCTAACTACACAGGGCCAGCCAGAGACCCCAACCCCAGCAGGCAGCCCAGACTCCCATGCAGGCCCAATGGCCTTTAGCACACAGTTAGGACACATGCAGCCCACAGATTGAGAACCACTGATCTAGACCATCCCTGACAGATGACTGGAGGTCTGTAAGAGCAGATTAGACAATAAGATTCCACAGCCTCCCTGCGATCCTTCATTACTACTGGAAAAACTGGACTGTGTGCATGAGAGGGCTTGCAGTATCAAGCTTAGAATAGGGTCTGGTCCTGCAAAGGATCTGGTCTAGGTCTTGGTAGGCAGTACACACACGAGATCAAGTATCAGATTCAGGAAGACAAAGAAGCTGAATGGGGCATTCAGAAAGTATTAACCATTCCCAACTATTTTACTAAGTGTAAACCATTCCACTATTTAAGTACATTACCTTGAAAGTTTTATCCATAGAAGCTGAGAGAAGCATATGGCTCCATCCTTGTACAGGACACCACTGGATTTTATTAACTGGACCGCTGTGTTTGGACATTTGAAATACCCGGTTTCTTGGGATTTCAGTTGATTTATACTTAGACCCTAAATATGGCTTAATAAATTCAGAAACCTTTGTGGAAATTTGCTCTTCTGGTATACCAGCTTTAGTTGCACAACTCTCTCTCTGTTCTTCAGATTCTTTTTTTTCATACACTTGAGAAGTTGTTTCTTGTCTAAGTCTTTTGGGGACATAGGGTCTAATTCCCTTTATGGTAACAAACTTGTCCTGATTTACTCTCTTCTGAGAGCAACTGCCATTTCCTGAAAACTTGTTAGCTTGATTAGAATAGTCTTTCCAAGGATAAATGTCTGACAAATCCATCTTATTAGTCTGTATCTGATATGCAGGGGAACCTTCACAAACAATACTTCTGCCAGTACTGTCAATACACTCAACAGCCTGCATTTTGTGTGTAGGTTTTGTGTTCAAGCCACCAGATGCAAAATGCTGAACAGGATTCATAGCAGAATTTTCAAGTCCAACTTCTGGGCTAGAAAGATTTTCATTTTCAGCCTCTCCAGTCTCCGTGTCAGAATCTGAATCATCATAAGCAACTAATGATGAATTCATTCTGGTCCAATATGCAAAATGCAATAATCTCTGTGCTGAAATCTTCCAAAATGATGGATATCTGCAATTAAAGGAATTAATAATTCAGACTATAAAATATTTAAGGTTGTAATCACTTAACATTTTTTGCAAATATAAATAACTATGCACTTTCATGCATATTTACTCATACAATTTAATCTTTAATTCAACATACCTATACTTACACTTCCAGAGCATCTTTCATCTCAGTATCTCTAAGATCTTTGTTAATATTAGTCAGATTTTGCATAGGTAATAAGCTGCATTCCACAAAACTGATATAAAGGATTACAAGGAAAGCACAAGTTTTATCCATGCAGTTATAACAGCACACTTTAAACCTGACTTGCCATCAGGTCTATTCTAACAAGATAATAAAAAATTATGCAGTTGGTTGGGGATATATAACTGTGACAGGGTTGGCCAGACTCTGAGGCCCCCTGCTGCAAGCCTTATGGCTCTGTAACACTCTGCCCCAGAGAAGCCATAGATAAGTCCTCCAAGCCAGAGTGACTGCAGAGGTAGAAGCCAATCAATGACAAGAAATGCCCATAAAAGGAGCTGAAGGAACTGACAGCTGTCAGTGTTTTTGGAGGCCTCAAGGTATGCTTTGCTGCAGTTTTCCATCCCCGAGGACCTGCGTGAAGCTGGTCCGACCAGAGATACGGGGATCGATTTTTAAGAGTAAGAGGTTTTGTTTTTAAAGCAGGGGTGAGGAACCTAATACCCCAGCTCACGTGAGTGTGGCCCTCGAGACTCAAGGTTCCCACACTAACGCTCTAGCTCCCCTCCAGATTGGTGATAGAAATGTAGCCGTGTTAGTCTGGGGTAGTTGAAGCAAAATGCAGGACAATGTAGCACTTTAAAGACTAACAAGATGGTTTATTAGATGATGAGCTTTCGTGGGCCAGACCCACTTCCTCAGATCAAATAGTGGAAGAAAGTAGTCACAACCGTATATACCAAAGGATACAATTAAAAAAAAGAACAAATATGAAAAGGACAAATCACATTGCAGAACAGGAGGGGGATGCGGTGGGGGGGAGGGGGAAGGAAGGTAAGTGTCTGTGAATTGATGATATTAGAGGTAGGGAGAGTGGGATGTTTGTGAGTTAATGGTATTAGAGGTGATAATTGGGGAAACTATCTTGGTAATGGGTGAGATAGTTCAAATGTTTGTTAAGTCCTTGTTGGTATGCTGACTGTTTGGCTGAGAGCAGCAGTACTGTGGACAGCTCTGTGTGAAGAGCTATTGGAGATTGCTGGACTGTGATGGGATTCTGAGACAAGATGTTGCTTCCACCGAAAGGAGTTTTTGTTTGATTCACACAATGGCGACTCAGCTGAAGGGCTGAGTCACCAAAGAGACAACTGGAACTAAGAGATTGCAAGCACACACACTTGTCCCGATAGGGAACTTGTGAAATGTTAGTGCCACTCCATCACAGTAATTTTGTGCAGAATTACAACTACTCATACAGCCAATGTGACAGTTTTTCTTTCATAAAGGAGTTTTTGTTTGATTCACACAATGGCGACTCAGCTGAAGGGCTGAGTCACCAAAGAGACAACTGGAACTAAGAGATTGCAAGCACACACACTTGTCCCGATAGGGAACTTGTGAAATGTTAGTGCCACTCCATCACAGTAATTTTGTGCAGAATTACAACTACTCATACAGCCAATGTGACAGTTTTTCTTTCATCATATTGGAGTTCAAAGGATAGAAGAAAAAAGGAACCACAATAGCTAAATGGATCACAGAATGTGTTAAAAGGGCAACTGTACATGTAACCACACCGAAATAGTAAATTCAGCAACACCTTCAACTTTACATCAAAGGCTTAAGAGTCATCGTAAAATTTTTAGGCATGTTGATGTCACTAGAAAACACAAGCATACATGCTTGTGCTTACTATGAGCAGAAATGTAATTTGATGGATTTTAGCCATTTATGTAATCAATATCAGAAGCTGAAATTGGCCTTGCATGCCATAATATTGGCTAAGGAGATTTATGGCAGTACTCCCACTACTGGAGGGGTGAGGAATCTTTTTTGGGTTGAGGGCCACTGCCTAACAGAAAAATCAGTCGGGGGGGAAGGGGTGGCCCACACAAGTGAGAAACCAAAAAAAAAAAGCCACCTCACTGACAATGTTCTACAGCAGCACTGCTTCACAGGTGATTAATCAGCCCTGCCCAGTCAATGAACTGTATGCATTACACCAGTGATCCCCAATGTGGTGCCCGCGGGCACCATGGCGCCTACCGGGCCATTTATGTGTTCCCGCGGAGCAATCTGGGCTGGCCCCGCCCCCGGGTGTGCGGCAGGAGCCAGCCCTGAGTGCATAGGTGGCCCCTGCCCCGGGGTCGCAGTACATACTGGTGCCTGCCCTGGCCCCGGGTGCGCGGCACATGCCGGTGCCAGCCCCGTGCATGCAGCGCCTGGGCGGCCCCTGCCCGGGGTCACAACACATGCAGGTGCCGGCCCTGGGCGTGCGGCGCATGCTTGGCCCCGCCTCCAAGCACATGGCCCGTGAGCGGCCCAGGCACCCGGAAGCCCCAAAACGTTGGGGACCACTCCACTACACCCTGAGCCCCTGACTGGGTGGGGCTGATTAATCACCTGTAAAGCTTAGAGGGAACACTGCTCACTGAAGTGTGGCTCCTCACTGAGGAGAAAGACACTCCTCATATTCTTCTTACACACCAGAGCCTAGGGGCACCACGCTAGCAGATTTTCAGTGCTCCAGCCCTATGGTGGGGCAGCGGGAGGGCTCAAATGCAAGTACAGAACCCCACTGCTGGGAAGGAGCACTGAGCCTCGGGGGCTGAATCCAGGCAAGTCGGGGTCCGCTTCCAGCCCCTAGGGCTGAGGTTCCCTACTCTACAGTAGTCACACATACAGATTGGGAAGTGACTGGGAAGCAATACTGCAAAAAGAGACCAGTGGGGGCATCCTCACCAAAGGAGTGGCCATCTGGGGACTGGGCTCTCCATCTTGCCTCTCACTTGCCCAGGTAAGTGGCTCTGCCTACCCCAGCACCAGACCAGAGGAGGGGGAGGAAGTCCCACCTTCCCCATCTCTGCCCCCCTCAGGAGCACTACTGTGACCCCTGCAACAGCTTCCCCCAGCATTGCCAGGTTGTTTAGCACAGCTGCAGCTGGCCATCCTGTTCGGCCCCCCTGGGCTGGGCCCAGGGAGCACTGGCAGGGGATCTGTATGCCCTACCACCACCCCCGGACAACAGCAGGTAAGTCTACCAGTTTGAAATAAAATGTCTTTTAGAGACGTGTATCTAGTATGAATTAAGGATGTAAAGGAGTAGTCGACTACCTGATAAGGAGGAGCTTATCAGGTAGCATTATTGAATACTCGATCACTCCCCGCCCCCACTCCCTGTACTCTTAAAGGGACAGAGAGGAGCCAGCATGCAAAGACGCAGGCTCATTCTGTGGTCCCCCGCTGGGTCTCAGGACAACTCTCATGCTGCCACTCTTCATTTTTAAACGGGACATAGCAGTGGCAGCCTGTCCACTTGTCTGTCTCAGCACTTATGCATCTGAGTAGTCCATTTGAATTCAATGGGACTATTGATATGCATAAAGTCACTTGCATGCATATTTGTTTGCAGGATTGTATACTATTGATATGCATAAAGTCACTTGCATGCATATATACAATCCTGCAAACAAATATCAGCTTTGTATATATCAGCTGTTTTCAAACTTTTTTAGCTGTGCTTTCCCCATACACACCCCGTTACAATTTTGGTTGCACACATCCCTAAATCCAGACCAAAAAAAGATATAATATCTGCCCTTCCCCTCTTAAACTTTCAGAGTGGGGGAAGGTTAATGCAACTGTCAGAGTGGAGCCAGTGCTGGGTGCAGAGAGTGTTGGGAGCAGAAAATGGCACAGCTGCGGTGAATGTTGACACTGAGCCCACCTGGTATCACCACCAAAATACCTCTGCTCCACTCCAAGGGGGAGAACTCTGGTATAAATAGAGCAGGACTCTAATATCCCTATTTTATTCCAAGCTAGAGAGCTTTGCACTTTAGGCTGTGCCTCTATTTTACTATGAAGTCCCCTAGCACAAACCCTTACTACTGAACAGCATCTCACTGACTCAAACAGGACTCTATCCACAACTACAGGTCTGTTCTTTCAAATCCCTTTGCAGGACAGTTAGCTAAGTATTTTGCAGAAGTTTTAAAAACCAGTATAGTGATAAGTATGAAAAACATTACATTCTCCCTCTGGAGGGCAACTCACATCTTTATCTGAAGTTTATAAAACTGGGACTATTCCCTAAACAACCAAATGAATCTGTGCTACATCATGAAATTGTTAATTTAAATGGGATTCCATCTGTGCAAAGAAAAGAAGAAAAATGTGTAAAAGGCAACATGGCAGTTATCTTATCCTCCTTTTTGTTTTCTCAAGACTAAATATGCTCACTTTTCAGCATGATTACAGTGTAGCTAATTATTCCCTATTTGTAACTATATATTAGAAATGTAATGCAATATTTCAAATGTAATATTTTGTACTTGCCTTTATTAAATTTCATCTTTTTTATTTTAACCCAAGTCTTTAATTTCTCAAGGTCACGTTGAATTGTAATCCTGTTCTCTAAAGCAGGGGTTCCCAAACTTTTTGATATGGGGACCAGTAAATCCATTTGCGAGCTTTCAGAGGACTGGTAACAGTAATTTGCATATTTGCATATTCATTAAGCAAATGACAAATATGCAAATATGTTGGTTTGGGTCCTCCCAAAGCCGGCCAGCTTTAGCAAAGCTTTTGATATGGCCACCCACAACATTCTTACCAGCAAGTTAAGGGAATATGGATTGGAAAAATGGACAGTAGTCCAATAAAACCCTGCACCACCACATCGTGTATTGAAAAGGGGCTCATTTATTTTCAGAAAGCTGACACCATCTTTGGAATTTTTTATCCATATTCTCATTCCGGATGGTGAATGCACCAGGTTCTCTCCATTCTGACACATTGTAGTGCCTTTAAACCTCACTGTCAGCAGTGGGGATATTTAAAAGGCACTGCTTTTAAATTTTTATTCAGGATCTGCGCGCGCCCTGAACTGTCCAGCTCCCCGCTGGCCAATTCTCCCCCCTCTCTCCCCTCCCCCACCGTCCTGGGCCAGCCCTTATGTCCCCGCAAGCCGATTCTCTCCCGATCACTCCTGGCAAGCCCTGCTGCCCCCGCCAGCCCTGTTTCCACAGGCCGGTTCCCCAGCCAGCCCCGCGATCTCCCTCAGCCAGCCTCGCTGCCCCCACCAGGCATTTTCTCCCCCACTCCCCGCGATCTCCCCTGGCCAGCCCCACTGCTCCCACCCCCCCGGTCAGTCCTGCTTCCGCCGGGCCGGTTCTCCCCCCCCCCCATCTTCCCCGGGCAGCTCTACTACCCCGACCCTGCTTCCCTGCGGCCCATATCCAACTTCCCCTCCCCTCTCCACAGCCAACAATAAGAGCTCACCTGGTAACCCTCACTATGCCTCTGCCGGGAGCCTGAAACATACGGCTGCATATGCCCAGCCCGGCTGAGGGCTTGGGGAACCTGGCGCTACACGGGCAGTCTGGAAGCCCGGAACACCCTGGCAGCCATGCTGAGGCCCAGTATTTTTTTCCCCACAGCCAGGTACTGGGCCACGGCCCATAGTTTGGGAATCGCTGCTCTAAAGTACTTGCAAGCTTAATTTACTTCATCCACAATTTTATAAGCACGCTCTCCACTCCACTATTCAATTCATTAACATTTCATAGTACCAGACCCAAGAACAAGGGCAGGCAGGATTTGGCCCACCAAGCCTTTTGATCCAGCCCATGACCCGCCCCACCAAGACCCTGAGGCAGACTGTAAGCTGCAGCCAGAGGCTGCTCAAAACACCTGGCACTACAAGCCTTGGGAGAGGCGAGACACTTTACATGCAGCCCCTGCCCTGAGGGCCAGAGATTAGCCTGGGGTGGGGGCAGTGCATGAAATCTTCCACCTTTCCTGGCCCACCAAGGGGGCACAGTGCAGAGAGGCACATGGAGGAAGCCTCTAGCTATTCTGAGCACCCTGGGGGGTGCAACAGGCCAATAGCCTACCTCAGACTCCCTGTTGGGCTGCTGGTTCAGAGCTGCCTAAGGTAAGCACCTCCTGGCTGAGCCTGCCTCTGGCACCCCTTCCCCTCCAGCTTCTCAACTCCATGCTTAAGGTCACCATCCCCACCCCAGGTCACAACTCTCTTCCAGACTCTGCCGCCCTTCCTAAACCCTTCCTCCAGGTCAAAATACATTCCTGCACCCCAATCCCATGCCCTGAACTTCTTTCTGCATCCAACCTCCATAGAAAAATGCAGCCCTTGACCATTTAAATCTTGGAGTCTCCTCCCGCATAAAAAATTACCCACCCCTGCCCAAGAAAGACTACTGCAGGTCCCAAGCAGATACATCCTCCCAATTTAATAATGGACCATAGATAACTAAGATTTTTTTCCAAACAGTACTGCAACAGTTATGCACAGGTATGTCAATAACAAGTTTTAAGAGATAACAGGTTAAACAATGTTATATTGTGTAACCAGTTAACTACTAACTGAGGCTGCTCTAGCTGGCACTGCTGGGGTCTGCCTGCCATGGCTGGAGTGGGATCCTACCAGCCCACCTAAGCCATTGGGGTTAATGATAAGCCTATCCAGTTTTACAGCCCTAATTGTGTTAGCAGCATGGATTGACAAGGTACTAGTTTTAAGTTGTTAGTGCAGCTTAAATAGTTCTACACACTTTTTCATGAGGAAAGTTTACGTATGTGTTTTTACATGAGAATTAGACGCCAAACACAGTATATGCATTGCATGTACCTGAGCATACATTACGCTGGAGAGACATGGGGCAGCATACAAACTGCACACACAAAAGGCCAATACGGCACCTAAATGGCCACCCGGGCCAACACTTAGTGTGGTTGCACGTTCTCAGCTTTGATAACCAGGCCTTTCAAAATCTCAGGGCACCGCTTGTAGCTCGTTCAAATCTCCTCCGGCCCGTCTCACCCCGGGCCACGAGAGAAAGGCCGCCGCCCTCCCAGAATGGCAGCGCCAGGCCACAGGCAGAGCAAACCCTCTTTCCGGATGCTCAGGCTGGGGGCGGTGGGACTGTTTTTCGAACGTGTTTAAACGTTTCAGTTAAAGCCAAAATTCAAACATCCCCTTCGTGTCCCTCAGCCCGCGGCGTCCAACGAGACCCGAAGGAACCGCTTCTGAAACGAGAACTACCCGGAATGCTTATGAGCGGGTGAAACCGTCCCCTCCGCAGCAACCGTCCTTTCCGGATGCTCAGGCTGGGGGCGGTGGGACTGTTTTTCGAACGTGTTTAAACGTTTCAGTTAAAGCCAAAATTCAAACATCCCCTTCGTGTCCCTCAGCCCGCGGCGTCCAACGAGACCCGAAGGAACCGCTTCTGAAACGAGAACTACCCGGAATGCTTATGAGCGGGTGAAACCGTCCCCTCCGCAGCAACCGTCCCCTCCGCTGGCGTCAGCCTCCCAGCGCCTCAGCGCTTGGGCACCGGGGGGGGAGGGCGCGGCCGCAGCAGCCTGGCCCTGCAGCTCCTCCTACAGAGGAGGCGCCTCCTGTGCCGGGGCGAGCCTGACCGCCACGTGACCCGCCTATGCGGGGAACCCACGTCAGTTACCTGAGAGGGAAGCGACCCCCACGAGGGCCCTTTCCCAGAAACACGCACCGCGGGGGCTAGCGGCGGGTCCGCCCCGCAAAGGCAACCGGGGGGGAAAAAAGGGCCGCCCTGCTAACAGCCCCGCCCCCACGGGCCACGCCCCAGCGCTTCCCGGCCGAGCGCCGGCAATGCCGCGCTCTGTCTGTTGGGAGGAAATGCGCCCGGCTGCCCTGCGTGCGCGGGTAGCGAATGGTTCCGGCTCGGGGACGCGTTTCCGACCGGGCAGGGGTGAGCAACGCAAAGCGAGCCCCCGGG